CTGACATTATGGACCGAATGGACTCGGCAGCATTATAGGGATTGGTCCATGCACTAAGAAAATGATCTTTTTTCTCTTGGTCTGTATGTATATGGATGTATATATGTAGGAGAGCGATGGTGTATTGACAATGTGGGATCTGAGCATGATGTGAATGGTATGGAATAAGGGGTGGATAATGTCCTGGGTTCAGCAGTAGCAGTCATGTTTCTCCTTCGTGGTAGCTGGTGCAGTGCTGTGTTTTGACTTCCAGCCTGGGAACAGCGTTGGTGATACCGATGTTTTCGGTTGTTGCTAAGTGATGTTTACCCTGACCAAGGACTTTGTGAGGCTCATGCTCTGCCAAGGAGGAGGGGAAGCCGGGAGGAAGCAGAGACGGGGCGCCTGACCCGGGCTAGCCAAGGAGGTATTCCATACCACAGCATGTCAGGCCCGGGGTGGGGGGTAACTGGGAGTTACCCGGAAGGACACGGGCTTCTGGGTGGGACTCGTTTCTTGGCCAGTGGTATCGTATTCTCCTCCCTTGTTATTTTCTCTTATCATTGTTGTAGTTGGTAGTAGCAGTGGTGATTTGTGTTGTACATTGGTTGCTGGACTGTTCTTGTCTCAACCCGTAGGAGTTGCACTCTTTCAATCCTCCTCCCCGTTCCTCCGGGAGTGGGGAAGGCGAGAGCCCCGGTGGGGGGGGGCCCTCGATTGCTGTCAGCCTGGCACCACTCACTGAGAGTGAGTGAACAAGTTGCCTGACTGGGTTTAAACCACGACAACGCCAAATTCCTGCTTCATTTTTTTTTTTTTTTATCTGTCCTGTCACTATCTCCATTTTTATAATAATTATTGCTTCGTAATAAACAAACTGATTGATTACAGTACTTGACCTCATTTGCATCTTAATTTCACTCTTGGGACCAAGAAAAAAATAGGTCTATGTCGTGGTTTAAACCCAGCCTGTAACTCAGAACCATGCAGCCCACTCTCACTCCAACCACCTTCTTTCCTCCCCCCACCCTGGTCCTAGGTGTATGGAGAGGAGAATTGAAAGAATGTAAAACCCACAGGTTGAAAAAAGAACAGTCCAATAACTGAGGTATAATACAAAACTACTACTGCTACCACCAGTAATAATGATAAGGGAAATAACAAGGGGAGAGAATATGACACTAAAGGGGAAAAAGAAAAGAAAACAAACACAAAGGATGCACAATGCAATTGCTCACCACCTGCCAACCGATACCCAGCCCAACCCGAGCAGCAATCTGGGCCTTCCAAGTAACTCTTTCTAGTTTATATACTTGGCATGACGTGCTGTGGTATGGAATACCCCTTTGGCTAGTTTGGGTCAGGTGTTCTGTCTCTGCTTCCTCACGTCTTCTTGTGCCCCTCCTCACTGGCAGAGCGTGAGAGACGGAAAAGTCCTTGATCAGGGTAAACATTACTTGGCAACAACTAAAACCATTGATGTGTTATCAGCACTGTTCTCAGACTAAAGCCAAACACACAGCACTGATTCAGCTACCAAAAAGGAAAAAAAAAATAACTGTTACAGCTGAACGCAGGACAGTCCAACACCGAGTTTTCCTCCAGTTGTACCCTGACATAAGAAAACCTATCATTCTTGCCAATTATAACAATACTAATTCTACATTTTCCTAAACAACAGAATGTATGTTACCAGTTTTCCGCACCTGGAGCCAGTCCATCTACATATGTAAAAAAAAAAAAAAAAAGTTGAACAGAGTGTTCTTCGTAAGAGTGTTTTATTATTATCCTGCCCTCAATCTGTTCCTTTGGATAGGCTATCCCTTCTTTGTGTTTCCTTTTAGTATTAAGGATAATTTCTGCAGAGAAAACTGTGAAGCTAATCTGTGGTGGTGACAGCTTTTGTTAGTATGCAGGTGTGACTCCACTGCAATAGAGAGGTCACTTCAGAGTCTCCTTCAAATCCATTTCTCTAAATATCCTATTACGTCTTCCTCTTCTTTAGCTCCAAGGTGAAAAGGCTGCCAAGTTTTACATAGTAAACATGGATAAGCAGAAACTATTCTTGATATTTTTCTCATTAATTCCCATTTTTAATAAATTACAGCACTGGGAAACATGGTGCTTTAGGTTTTGTTTATAACAAAAGTTTTGTATATATTTTACAATTTTGCTTTCATATAAGAATTACTGGATCAGATCCTCCTTTGGTTTGATCTCACAAGCAATAAGCTTTCCCAAAATGATATACGCAACTTCACATTTACTTCTGAGCAAGGGTTCACACAGGCAGTGTGAAACAACATTCTAATTTCTCTGTTTGTGTTCCTGCAATTAAACCTTAATGCCTTTAAAATGTTAGGAATTTGCTTATGATTTTTTGCATGTTAATTATAATTAAAGATCTTGGGGGAGGTTGAGTTGTTTTAGTACTTTTCAGGACATAAAAGCATTTGATGTTTTGCAACAAGATCCACTTTCCTGATCAACAACTGAAATTGTTGTGAATCTGATCTTCTCTAAACAGTGTAATTTTAGTCACTTTAAACTCAGAAGGATTCAGAACTAGTTCTCCTATTTGCATGCTGACAGTGGATATAATGGAAGGTAGATCTGATTTAAAGTCCACAGATTTGCCCTAGATCTTCCTTTGCCCTAGTTCTCTTTTGTCTTTAAATTTACTCTGATAAAGAATCTGTGAACTACAGAATTTGATCTATTATTTCTCACTTGTGGCTGCATTCAACTTCTAAAGTCGATGCCCTGATCTAATTTTTGTGGTTGTGATTCATGTCTATGACTGAAAAGAAAATCACCAGAGAATTGAATTGTATTGCCTCAGCTCTTCACGAGTAAAGTTCATGAGCTCTAAAAAGTTCAAAAGTTAAAAGGACTTAATTTTTGAGTTCAAATGCTCCGTACTGGGAAGACAAGGACTTCTTTTTGGCAATGATATGGGGCTAGCTGTTTATCAAGACAACAGAGGCTACCTGCCTGCTATGCCACCTCCTCTCACCCTGTCACCCATGACATTCTCCCCACATGCACATCTGTGGGACAGGCAAACCAGGGTGCTGTGCTGGCCCCAAGCCCTGCAGCCAATCTCCCCTCATGGGTAGATGTGCTCCAGGCCCCAACACAGAAATAGTTGGGAGAAAAATGTACCAATGCCTAGGAAAAAGCTTAAATTTTGGACAACCAAGTCAACAAATAGACAAGCATCATTATGTACAGATGCTGTTCCATTTTTGGGAGGATTGAAAAATTAGTTGGTGTACACACACATTTTTCTGAACTTAAAATATGTGTTAATTATACAAATAAAGCATGATTCAGATTACAATAAATAAATAAGTAAATAAATAAATAAATACTCAGGCAAAAATCCTCCTGAAATAAAGATTTTCAAACTGAAGTGCTGTTGTGTTGAATTTCAAGCCAAAATAGATGGCCTGGGGTAAGCAAAAGCCAGCTTGTGTATGTCAGGCTGGCATGGCAGTAGTCATAGTAGGCAATAAGTTTCCAGTTCTAGTGGGCACAGAAACCAAAAAAATACCCACTCAGTATAATTTTGAAGGTATTTCAACTGCTTTTGAGCTCACTTGAAAAAGCAAGTTATTTCCACAGATAAACCAGATCAGCTTTAAACCTCTTAAAGAACCTACCTGACATTATTTCTCCATCCTGATAAAACAGTCCCTGCCTTACATTTGTAAATTAGACTAAGTTTTCTAATTAAACATTCTAGCAAGTAATTTCTGTGTAAACTTGGCAGAACTTTTGAGGGCAAATAATGCATTGGAATCAATGAATAAGGGAACGGGTGAGTCCACAACCTTAAATGCTGAATTACTGAACCTGTTAGGTGAGGACCTACTATAAACTAATCTTTATGGAAAATGCTGGGTAATCATTCTTTCCACCTCAGTATAACTGACTCTGTTATTATACTTTGTTTATGATTTTGTGGCCAGGGCTCCTTTGAGCTTCTAAAGTAAGTGTAACTCAACACCTTCAACTAGACATACAGAAACTTTCTACATTGTGCATATTTCTATGCCAGAGACTAAATAACAAAACATTCCTTTCTCAAACACCCTGTGTGGAAGGTTATATTGTTTAACCAACATCTTTAGACCCACACAGATAAAATTAAAATCAAACATATCTGCTATGTTTTTCCTCTGAGCCTTAGTATCTTGGAAATAACAAGTTCCATTCCCTCAAATGAGTGAAAACAGCAGGCTTGTTCCTGCTTGTTTTTTGTTGGGTGGTAAGTTGGCAGCATCAATTGTGTTAGTATTTCTGTCAGCACTCACATTAAATATGTTTCTTTATGGGAGAAATCACATTCCAACCTACTCTGGACATCTAAATTTATATCTTTCATCACATCCAGACTGAAATCCAGCTACCACCTGGATTCCTGTGGCAAGTTATACAATTGAGAAAATGCAGCATGGCTCTGTAATAATTTCAGGCTCTTTGTAAGAGATATCAAGGAACATAATTTGAAGTTAGATATTTAGTATTCTGCCTTATTTATGGATAAAGTGTTTAATTCATTGGCTTCAGATTATTCATGAGCAATCAATGTTCAACACAAAGAATGTTTTGATCAAACATTTGGCAGTTTTGATAAAGGTTGTTTGCTGATTGTATGCAAGTTTTTTGAAAAGTAGAGTCCTGATATTCATATTCACAATTCCAAATTTAATTACTGTAACTGTTCTGAATTGCTTTAAACACTTCACTTTGACTAATGCTATTTGCCTAGCTCATAAGCCCACAGGATGAACTGACACATTTGGATCAAATATGAAAGAACTTGGTGATGGAGGCTGAGGGACATAAAATGCTCTCCATCAATTCTGATGACAGGGTTCTACAATAAAAGTAGAAGTCCAATGTTCATATCCACCAGGGCGGTCACAGGAAATCATATGTGAGATCTCTAAGCACACATTCATCTACAAGAGGAGCTTCACTTGTAACTGTGCTCCCTCCACTTTCCCATTTACCTTGGTTCCCACTTGCAAGCACATGCTTTGCTCAGACAGGGAACATACCCAGATGATGTGTTGCAGGAGCTTTCAATGCAACTGCTGCTTTTCACATCTGGGACAGCAGCAGCTTCTCAGCTTAATGTTTTTCAACAATCTTTCTACCATTTTCCCTGCAATTCCTTTCCTCCATTCTGAGACTTCCACAATGACCATGCTTCTGGAGAGCTGGTGGAAAGGTGAAATATCATGAAATAGTTTTGTTGTGTGGTAATAAACCACAAGTCTCTCACACATAACTCTTCAAACATGCAAGTAAAGTAGAATAATTTGAAATCAGGATCTTTCTTTTTTTCCTGTCTCTCCATTGATAGGTGAAAGGCTAATGTAGTCTCAAGTGTTCTGTGTCCGCCCCAACTATTTCATTTCAAGAAATAACCTTGCTGTGAATACATTTTAATTAGTGATTTCATACTTGGAATTGCACAGTTGTAATACAGTATGTGTGCAGCTCTATTGAAATACTATAAAAAAGGCATGATTATTTACAATCTCTGTTGGAATAATGCAAGTAAAAATTTCCCCTGCTGGTGTCTGTTTTTGTGTCCGACATATCATTAGCACTTAGCATTCCCTCCATATTTATAAAAGGGTAGATGCTTGGACTTCAGGATGCCCCCACAGTGCTGGAGATTTTTCATTCTTTGTTCGCTATTGCTTGCTGAGATCATTGTAATGAAGAGAAGATTTTTATTTCATTTGATAATTTTGGTCTAATTGAAAGATATTACAACGAAAAATTGGAACAGCCCATGAGATTCAAAAGAATTTTCATAACTCTATGTGCGTGATCTGGGATCTTTTAATGCAATGTGGAATAAAACAAAGTAGGGCCTAGGAACAAAAAATTAAAACCTTGTCATATGTGTTAGTGATGAAGGCAGGCTGACAAACCAAGAGTTCTGAGGAGCAGCGAAAGAAAAATCTTCAAGACCTGTATGCTCATTTCAGAACCGAATCTGAACTTACAAACAAGATGCTTGGCTTCAGCCTAGAGGGACATGGTATAAAATTAAAGGGGGTGATAATATGTAATGATGTGATTAAATCAGGCATTAGTTACATTAACTAGGATTGCTGCTTAATTAATTTGGCTGTTGCTCTCAGGACAGAGACTGTGGCACAGAACAAAAAGAATGATAAAGGCCAAATGGATTTTTAAATACCAGTCTGCATTTGATATGCAAGTTCCCTTGAAGAGGGTTTGGTTTGGTTGCTTTTTTTGTTTTGCAAAATTATCATGCATAAGAAAACTGCCAGAAATTCACTGGCATGTCAATAGAAATAAGAAAGTGTTCTGAAAACGTAGGCAATTTACACCTACTACAGTGACTACAGTTAAAGAACATGTACATATATATATAAGCTGTCATATCTGCTCCCTTTAAATCCCTCATAATGTCAATGTGGACATTTTGGCAAGTTTTCTGACCTGCACATAGTCTGAATGAGTGGGCTGCCTTCAGCTGCTGTATGTGCTGGCACCTGAGCCAGGCTTTTCAGCCCAGGGAAGAGTAACCTAGCAGCAGAGGACAAAGGGAAGAGCTGCAGGGTCTGAGCAATGCCTAAGCTCTCTACAAAGAACACTATGTGATTTTCCTAGGCTCCTCATTTCTGGGAAAAAGATGATGGTGGGAACAACCGGTGAGAGCATATCTTTGCATTCCCATCTCCTTTGGGTTTTTGTTCTCTCTGATCTAGAATTTTAGAGAGGAAGTACCTGCAAAATTTGGGTGCAGTTCATGCTGAAGTTCTGACCCTCCTCTGACATATATACAATACTGAAGTGTTAATTGGCTGTTGAGCATGATGATAGCTCACAGAGGAAAATTTTATGCCTGTGCATCTCTGCTTGCAGCTGTTGTGATACAGGGAAAGCATGACAGTCCTCAGGTTCTCATCAGCAATGGGACTGGAGTGGCGGCTGCCACTTAACGTAGCATGCCAGCATCACACATAATGCAACTGAATGTAGTAATGATTTAGCCAGTGGTGTGGTCGTTTTGTCATGGATATTGTATTGATAGTACCTAACAATAATCAGTGTCAGGAGAAAAGCTGATGGTCTCAGAACAAATTCACATGAAAAGGAGTGAAACAGGACTGTTGATATTCCATTTGAGATTTACTAGTTCAGAAAATGAGACTTTCAATATGTTGTAAAATTACAGATTACAAAAGCAATTTACTGAATCTGTTATGCCTTTAAACGTGCATCTTACTGAAAAGGCTCCACAATGCGTCTACTTACACTTCTGTTGCAATGCAGACCTGGCATCTGCTTCATTCATCCCTCATCTATACTCCATTATTTCATGATTTCTCTTGACCAGTGCCTAAATTTCATAAATCCTAAACACTAGAGTCTCTAAATGAGAAGAGCCTGGCTTTCAGGGAGAACGAGCTTATTTGCATGTAGCCTCCTCAGGCAAGCATAGCAGCAACCCTGCCTGTGGCAGTATATTGGTCCTAATTAATTACCTATACCTTGCTCTAGGCAGGAAGGTGCTTTCATCAAGAGCACCAAGCAAGTAGTAGTTTTCTTTCCAGAGAAATCTCAAGGTATAATTATATGCAGAAGGTGTCATGAGATCACCCGTCTGAATTCTTCAATATTGAGGGCTTTAGAAGAGGGAAAGGGAGGTTGGAACATGAGGACTGAGAGGTCAGAAAGCAATTGAGTCACCTGAAATACAGCAGCCCTACAACCTGGTGTCAAAAACTGGGGAAAAAGAAAAAATATAAAGGACTCCCAAGTATCGATGTTTAGTCAGTGATGGAAGAAATCAAGACTGATGTGTATGTGTAGGGGTTTTTCTATGGGATGCTTGGGAAGAAATCTGAGAAACCTCCATAAACTTGAAAGGAATGTGTAATGAAGTAACATGACAGCAGAGAGTTTAAGAACTAGACAGGAGTGGATGAAAAGATAAGATATAAGATCACTATGCAAGGACCTCACAAATTCTGTATCATATACATTCTTGACTATCAAATTTTAAAAGGGGAGAGGAGTATATTGTTGTTACAAAATAGAAGAGAGTCTGGTTTGCATTGTGCAAACAAAGCTTACAAAATATTGTGTATTACTGAGGAAAACAAAGCACAAAAGATAGTTCCAGGAAAAATACGGACTGAAACCAAGAAACAAACAGGAAATAACAACATTTATCCACACCTGCTGCCTTGTAGTTGCTGGAAATTGAACATCTTGGACGCATCTATCTGCACTGGGCAAATAACTGATGCTTATTGTCCTAGGGGAAAGTCTAGAAAAATCAAAACCCCTGGGGCACATCCTTCTTTTTCAGCAAGTATAGTCAATGAAGCTATTAACATTTAGAATACCTGATGATATGCCTCCCCTTGTAACTGAAACTCTACTTTTCCCAGATATGGCAACTGTAACAGCAAAAGAGCAAGAAAAGGGTCCATTCCATTTAGTCCATTTATACTGAGTTAGATCAGATCTGAGTTAGAACAGATACTTCTTATCCCCTAGGAAAATGATTTCTGTTAATTTCTTGGTAAGGGATTCACCCTTGAGAAGTGCATGTGCTCCATAAACCTGTTCAAGAAAAGGCAGAGGGACACACTGCCTATTTCCACCTCCCACTCTTCTTCTTTTGTCTCAGTGTGCATATTACGAGTGAAAGAGAGAGGCCATATTTTATTCCTGACTGACTGTTTCAGTTTTTCCAGAAATGAGCAAATACCCAAGACTGCACACCAATCTTAGTCCAAAGCACACTCTGGTTCCTATAGAAAAATTACTTCCCTTCTCATTTCCTTTTATGAATGGAAGTAGATGATTGCCCTGTGTGGTTGAGTGCAAGGAAAACAGGCTGGTGAGGTGTTGTCTGCACTAGCACCTATATACTTTTTGGGTCTCCAAATTAGGATGCAAAGGAAGAATGCAGTCTCTGCCTTAGCCAAATGTAAAGGGAACATTTTTGCATATTTTTGATATGTGATCTTATCAGCAGACAGCTTTTTCTTTTCAGTAAAATAAATCCTTGTAATCCCACAGTATAGAAATCTGACAGTACAGGAAGTAATCTTTATGATGGCTAAAAGGCTTTGCACAGCATATATTGCACCACAGGATAATTATTTGTTACTGGTGTTAGCATTACTGAGTGTTTAATGCACTTCTGGCAAGTGGGCAGAAAATAAGCAATACCTGGTGACAACAGTAAGAATGTACTTCTTCACACGGCAAGTAACTTCTTAAAGTTCCTATCAGGCTGTAATATTTTTCCCCTACATGCAAAAGCATTAAAATAAAAACTTTGGATATATAAATCAGAGAAGGGTGAGTTCAGTGCCAAGAAGGAGACAAATTAATTCTGTAGATGTTAAAACTGAAAGGGGCCTCTTAGATCATCCTGTTACGCCTCCCTTCCATTGCTATTAACAACTGCTAGTGTCATGAAAGTATAACCTTACATAGTAAAAGTACAGAAAAGAAATATTGGGCTCTCCCCTCTGGCTGCTCATCAGTGCATTAATGTTTTCTACAAAATATTTACTACAGCTTTATTTTTCTATACCTCTCTACTTTCTCACGTACCGTATCTGATATTCACATCATCACCTCTGCAGTGATGAACTTTTTCTATGTAAGTTATCCCACTGTAGGACTGACCTTCCCTTAAGAATGCCTTTTTCTCCTAATGCATAAAATGAATTTACTTTTTTTCTAGTTTCAGTTCATTACATCTTTTAAGTACTTGATAATTCCTCACTATCTTTATTGTCACTATAGTTAGATATTTATAGATAAGTACATCCTTTCCTTATTGCTTCAATATGGAGGCATGGAAGTGACATCCATATAATAAACAGCAAATACACTTGATAAACTGAGGAATCACTTAGGAGATGTTCAAAGGCATAAAGAGGAATTAACGATTCCAAGTTCAAGCATGTGTGCACGCACACAGTTGTGTAAAAGAGGAAAGAAAAAGGGAAAGGATTTTCAGTATGTCTAATTAATATTCCTCCGTGAAGAATGATTCTTTTAAGGTGTTTTGAGAGCAGTGAGATGGATCTATCAGTATTTATTTTCACTTCACAGAAACAATCAATATGGAGATGAAATAAGGCACATTAGGTGATCCTGTCTACCTCTTTGCCATTAGGAATTGCATAATAATGCTTCATGCTTTTTGTGCATTTAGCTGCACAAGCCTTAAGCAATAGTATTTCTTTGCCTGCCTATGTTAGAGATTGAGCACACCGGTTAAGCCCCAGGACTCCAGGAGAGAGCAGGCCACCATGAGCCAGCAGAGTGCCACCATTGCTGAAGCTGTGCCATGCTTCCTGACCTGAACCAGGACCAGAGATGAGCAACTGTTCATTATGAGCTTCATCCTGTTTCCCTCTAAGTAAGCTGCAGCACTCAACTCTTTCACCACCTTTTATCCC